TTAGTGTGATGACGATGACAATGACGGCAATCATTACTTTTTTACACCAATACGTTATCCGGTCGCGTTGCTTTCATCGTGAACCTGAAATAGGCCTTTTGTATCTGGAGATGACCAAAGTACGCTAGGACATAACAGAGCGAAGATCGATGTGATAGCCTTAAAGCGGCCTTCCATCATCCTAGAAGCATTCTGCTAAGGAGGTAACAGTTACTACTAGCATTCGCAGTTAAATCTGTGCATGAAAGGACACTTCAGTTGCGAATCCAGAAAGAAAGATTTCGATTCAGCACCCATATATATAGTATTTGAGGGCATGATGAAATTTTTTTCTGACACCTTAACAGAATGGATGGATTTGTTTGTAGAAAGATGCTAATGCCGGTATGAAAACATCGTGATATTGCACGTTATAGTGCGACTGCTTGACTCATTGTTAGATGTCAGGTATCGTTTCTCTTCTTCCCTTCTTCAGGAGTAGAGCTTAGCTTCTTTGCTTCCCTTCAGGGTTGCAATAATCACTTCCCTGTCGCCGGTGACTTGTATTTTGTCGTAAACTCCTTCACGGTCATTTGCCTTTCAAACTCATGGTGTGCACGGCATTTTGATGTATACTGTGATGTGAGGCCAAAAGTTGATTGAGTCGAGAAACTCATGCGATATAAGTTTCTTTTTACTGCTCACTTATAACAGAAGTGTAAGTGATAGTACTGTAGAATTCCTTGGCGCGGGCTCGTCGAACTCCTGCGACAGTGACCAACAACGAAATTCGTCTGCGCCAACAAGTGCAGCGTTGGCGCAACACTGCGAACCGTCTTAAAACCATTCTCAAGAACTGCATGTTCAGCGCCGGCATTTCTCAGCCTCAGCCTGTACCGTCGCCGTTGCGACAGCGGAAGCACGTTAATCCACAGGTACTCAGTCGGTGCCGTGTACACGGTCTTACATTTCTTGTTGTCTACTCTTTAACGCTGGTTCCTTTAGAAGGTGGTAAAATACGAACCGCTCGACGACAATTTCGTCCCGTCACCTCAACTGTCTCTGGGTATCGCCAGTCGTTTGGGATGGAAGAAGAAGGGTTGGCGTAGGGCGACGACGGCAGCTTTCAGCGTATGTCTACGGTTGTTAGGACGTCACTAGTTTGTGTGTCATTCTGTTTAGGACGTAAGACAGTTGGGAAACACTTGGCAGAAACGACGTGGACCGTATAAAAGATTGTCCATTGACAAGTAATTAGATTTCACAGGCTTTTTGCGTCGGTATCGTTACGGCCGATTAGCAGTGTTGTTTGTTTTTTCTTATAATGATTTAGCAAACGTCGAGAATAGGCTGTGTTAGCTTGAGTTAGAAAACTTGCTTGACTGATGCTAAAATCGCGCCTGATATGATGTCAAGGTTTTCCAGTGGTCTACGTAGCATATTAATTTTATTTCACCCAATTCCGATACTTGGGATCAAGCTAGACAACTCTTCAGGAGACACGTTTCTATTGATTGAGCTATCTGAACCTTGGAACATGCGTACAGGACAATCGGGTCACCAACCAGCAGTGGCTGACGACTATCGGTCTGAGAAAATATCAGATCAACTCATACATGTTCTTTTTGGTTTGATAAAACAGCCTAAAAGGAGAATGGAATATGTTCTAAGGATTTTTTGAAAGCCTTTGGGGCTCAGGACGAAACGTAGAAACACCTCATTGAGATACATCTGCTTCCGAAGAGGAGTATGACCCTTACCACAGCAGTGAACGCTGCCTAATCTCAGTCTGAAATACTACTTTGAACGGCCAGACATCATTATTCTGGATTACCTGCCTTTTAAGCTTTGTTATGCTTAGTTGACGATGACAAAACAACAGATAAAATAGCGGACTTATGGAGGATGCAGTTTCGTAAGGATGATTCTATTCTCTGCATGAAAAACTTTAGGCCGCTTAAGCCAGGCAACCGTTGAGGTTTGGTGTTCCAGTGAATGATTACGTCACATGCAGTATACTTATACTTTCGAATCCAGGTGAAAATACGTTAAACTGCAGAAATGTCCCACACACTTGTCAACAATGTCAGGTACTACCTGACCCTGATGTGGTGTTCAGATGAAATTTACGGCAGTAAGAGAGTCTCTTGACAGAAGTTCGCCTCACTTGCAGTCAGTTTAAAGGTTCTTGAACTGTTGGTCGTTAGAGCAAGCTGTGTGAGAATAGGGCTTTAGATTTAATCGACCATTTGCTACTTGTTAATTTGTTGTTCAGAGCCTCATTGTGTTTCGTTCAGTTGCTCTGCCATCAGAGGCGTCAGACGCGTCTTTCCTGCTGCACTTAAGAAAATAAAAAATATTTTAACATGACAGAGACGCGCGTGATTGTCGTACCGATGTTCAAGATTATTCAATTGCGCTTCAGTGCCTTTATTGAGCATCATAACCTTCCACATCATAATTTCCGTGAACCTAATGTAACTGTCCTCGGCATTTAAAGTGTTCAGAGTTCTTCCAGTTTTAACTATTTTTATTTCGTTTGAACGTTTATTGTGTATAGCGTAATAACATGACCGCCGTATGTTCTGTGCTGGTAACCAAATAACTGAATTGTAGCTTGAATCTCAGCGATGGCCTGACATGTAAAGTAATTTAATTCGTTAATTTAATAATCCAAAAGTAGCGTTCCATCAGAGGTAATTTCGTTTCAGTCTCATGTAGTGCTTGTAGTTCACAGAAAGAGAATTACAATAGTTCGTTCAGGAACACGCGACCATTGAAAAATCGCAACAAAGCCGTACGCTACAAGGTACCACATTTAGATCGAACAAAATGCCCAAAACACGTAACGTTATGAAACGAATTGTTTAGGCTGCGCTGGCAACTTCGTCCGATGTCACCCGTCAGGCATTTCGCCAAATAACGCGTTCAAGCCGAAGACCCAGAAACCGCAGTCAAGGTCGTGTTCAAAAAGAACGTCGCGTGCTAGACAAAGTCCGAAACTTATCTGTGCCTGCTGTGAGTGTTACATCAATACAGCTCAGCCACGGTTCACTCATTCGTTCATTCATTCATTCACTCATTTTTCTTCAATGTCCGCTATTCCTGCTCAATCACTGCGGCAACTGCTTGAGGAAGCTTGTCCGTCGGAATGGATTACGTAGGCTCCATGGCCATCGTTTAAGTCGCGACAGCGTCAGGTTTTCTTTATAATGGAACCGTCTTTTCCGCGGTCTGTGTCTTCTTCCCTCCGGCTTTGCCAAGAGGGAAGACAGTTCACTTTGCGAGTCTCCCCAGGATCCTCTGATTCCATGTTCAAACCATTGAAATTCGACCTGGACAAGATGTGGCTCCCAGTCGTGTCTGCTTCACGTTAGAAACTGCCGCACTCCATACATTGTGAAGCCTCTTCATGCCAGCCAGCCTTCGAAGAAATTTAATTTCTGCTGCTTGTATCCGATATCACGCTCGTCAGTATCGGTTGGTTCATGTCATAAAGGTCAGTATCCAGCACTCATGGACATAGCTGAGCGGAGTTGTGTGGATAAGCGGCAGAGGCAGAGAACTTCTTCACCACCATAGATCGGTTTAGCTCCCGCATTACAGCATTCACCTGGCCGATGTGTCTGTCAGATATTTAAACTTTCCCAGTTTCTGTGGTTGCACTACACATATATGCGGAGTACGCTGTGGCAGCTCTAGATTGTATGAATTTCAGTTTTGGTCAAGCTGATTTTCACTTTGGCTTCTTTGCATGTAGCAGCGTGAACTACAGTCAAGTGCGAGTTGGAGGTTGTAATGGGAAGAAGGAAAAGTAAAGAGATCATCCGTAGACAATAGTAACTCAGTCGAACTGCTGATGTAACATTCTCCGAACCCACGTTGCGTTTGCAGTTTCAATTCACAATTATTATGAACTGGAGAAGGAACAATTCACCCTTGGTGAAGGATAAATACGTATGAGTTAGTTGTAATGTTCCTTGAATGTTAGTTGTAATTAGTTAGTTGTAATGTTGTAATGTACTGTTCATTCCTGATCCTTGAATCCACGTTTCTGGTGTTGATGCTAACGCCTTTAAGGAGTCCTGGCTCATCGACACAATATGACATTCACATGATTACTCTTTCTTGACTCTAAGATGTCCTGGAGCACAGTCTGCTTAAATGGTCTCCTAAGCATCTAGGAACGGCTCGGTGCGACTGCGCCGAGTAAGGTCATAGAACGGAAAGTTCGATCAATCAGTCATCTTTAACGAACATCGACCTATAAGTGGCCAAGTCTTTCAACGCAAAAAAATTATGACAAATGCTGCACAATGGGCATTTTTACAATAGAGCACGCAGCTTGAGAACCGTGTTATTCATTGATCGCCAGTTGACGAATAATACAACCGGGGCCAATTATCAGAGTTATGCAATTCTTAAATGCCAGTCTTACAGGTTTGTAAAGGAAACTAATGGAATTGGTTTCACATGGTTTTTTCAAGCTATTGAGAGAATGCATCATAGGTCAGTCCGAAAGATACATCATCGCTCACGACAGCACTTTACCTCGGTTATTTCTTCTTGAATTTGTTAATTAGAGCCCAATTTGCAGTCGAGTGATCGTGGGTTCGAATCTTTTGCGCGGTCACAGCCGTCAGCGCTCTACAGTATGTAAAATGAGTATAATCACAGCCAGTGTTATACCTCCAGTATTGTATATTGTTATGAAAAATTTTAATTGCAGAGGCGCATTAGTGTTATTCGCCGGATTTCATTGCTTACAGTGCTACCTTTGGTTCTTTAGTGCTTCGACGGTTGTTTATGCCAGTCGCAGCTAAATAGCATTTGAACACCTGAATGCATCGATGCAGTTCAGATCATTTTATTGACTAAAATAATTCCTTGCCTGTTATCAGTGATGTTTGAGGAGCCAGTTCGCAGTATGCGTTCACAGAAGGTCGATAAGCATAGATTCATAGAAAAAGTATGTTAATCATCACGTCATCGACTTATATTACCTGACGCATTCCACTTTTCATATATGCATCTGTAGAACAGTTTATAAAAGCAACAAACTACGTGTTAAACGATTGATGCTACTTTCGGTATATTTTTCATGGTTCAGAACGTTAAAATGACCCTTGTGCTTCATGACCAACTGAGTGTTTGTGCACAGAATTTTTAACTTAAGTCGATATTGTCTGATCATTTTACCGGGTTTATCAGCATAAGCCTACCGCACTCTTTCTTCTAGGCACTTAGAACGATCATTTAAGCATACTACAGTTCCACTTTATAGGGACACCTGCAGCGTATCAGATGTCGAATCGCACCTTTGAATTTTGTCGAATCGTATCGGCGCGTGGTCTGTCTCGGACAAATTTTTCTCTATGTGGGGCTATACCTAAAGTGGTTCGTATGAAGGTATTGCGGATGTGGCGCAGTTACTAACACCGCAAATCCATCTTAGCATTTGCAGTTATACAGAGTTTCTGCTGTTGCGCGTGTTTTCAGAGTGGTCAGAAATTCCACCCGTACAGAAGTACTGATCGTACTCTAGTTCTGTACATTTTTTCTTTATCCTTAAGGGCAACTTTTTACAGTACACTACCGACTTCTCTTTGATCATCGCCTTGAGAATTCTTTATTACCCTCTTATCACGCTGTGGTAGTTTAAATTGAACTTAGAAGGGTCGTCCAGAATTGAAAACTTCAAATCTTATAAGCCTCCTTCGGTGTTTTGAAAATTCCAAGAAATTGATGCTTTTTTTACAGCAACAGCGTGCAGTTCAGCTGTATTTTATGACACTAGAACGATAAAACAATTGATGACAGCGCCGGTAACATTCGATTGGTCGAAATTTGCCATACCCGCTTGTTCACCAAAAAATTATTCCGATAACTTGTCTTGATTTTGGCCGACAGATCCTGACGCGAAACCGACTCCACTGTATGACGCTTTAGTGTTGTTTTTAAATGACCAGATTTATTCAGTCATTTGAGCGATCGGACCCAGAACCAAGTGGTCCAGGTTCGAGCCCCTGTCTAGTCACTCGCATTTCTTCTTTTCGTGGTTGACAATTTAGTATCACTTTGTGGAAAGGAAACAGAAACTACACGCTATAAATACTAGCCACATATCTGCGATCTGCCTTTACAATAAGACACTTCTAGACATAAAAGCGGAGACCAGCGCCGCATGATGAATTTTATGAAAACGAAGGGCGCGGGAAATGGCCCATCGCGAAAGTGTAAGAGAGACCGACTTTGCCATTACTCACACCCCGTCCTTTGTAAAGGAAACTAGTTCCTCGTCTCGATGTTTCCCATAACAGGCTTCTTTGAACATATAAATGTTTAAGGCCCGACTTTCGTGAAACAAAGGAGTGTAGAATTTTGAAATTGGTTAGTCTTTTCTGTATTTAAGTTTGTGCGCCTGCCCCTACCTGTGATCGTAAGTGCTTGTTATTGAATGAAAGTATGCGATCTCCAGTAGAAGACAGAGATGAGGTTTTTTTCGAAGGACTAGTAATATAACTAGATTCGATAAGGTTCACATGACGGTTCGAGATTCCCTCAGTTGCGACCACTGTAACTTTTAGGTAAGAAATACTGTTATGATGGTGTGGATGTGGGTCATGATCAGGGTTGTTGAAACGGTAGAGCGTCGGACTCAAAATCGACAGGTTCTGTGGTCGAGCCGCCGGTCGGATCACTCGCCATTCATCCTTGCGCGGTAAATAAATGAGTACCACTTCGTGAAAAAGTAGCAAGACTAGATGTTACATTGATCATTAAGTTGTTGACTGGACCTTGGAAAACAATCCTTCCTGGTTGTTGAGATATAAAGGGATATGATCGCCGCCCTGTAAGGCTTTATGTAAGGAAGGATACCAGAAAAGGCGCCTCATCTGAATGGTGTAAAGTAGGCCACCATCGCAACGGTTAGAAACTTTTTTGTTCCTACAGTTTAAGAAATGATAATTGCGAGTCTGAAAACGTAAAGAGCCACGGATAAAACAGCCATGAGACAAAACGCCGACCAGATAGCTCAGTTATATGTAAGACCTGGAATCCAGATCATTTGGCTGTGCACATAAGCCATTGCGAAGGCTTCTTGAAATAGCTACTTCAAAGGAATAGCAGGCATTGACAGTGATTTTGATACCATTTAAAGAATAGTCAGTACAACGATGTTTGTGTAGTTTTTGCACGTTTTTGTTTTAGAAGAGTGGCGGTAGCACCCTCAACGAAAGATTCGGAGGCACTCGAGGCGACGGTGGAGGCGCTTTTCGCATTCCTTTTACGTTTAACCGAAGTTTATATCTTTGACTGATGCGAAAAGTTGAGGTTCTGTATATTGTTTGAATTTTGTTTTAACACAAGGACATATGCGCGATCCGTATGTAGATTAATGTACTGAAACGGCTTTATTTGCGAATAAATGAATTGTTGTACAAATATTTGACGAAGTGTTGTTTGCACGTACACCAGGGTATGAGCTAATAGCAGAGTAGCTGAGGCGCGGTCACACGAGGGATTACATATCACATCACTTTCACACGCGTTTCTATCGTCCTGGTAGGAAAATCAATGCCGTTGCCAGGGAGCTTGGAGGTGACAAACGGCCAAAGCCAGACGAGCACGTAACGATCACCAACGATCTGGCGAAGGTTCTGCAGTGGGCCCAAATTATAGCAACTGATGCCGGTCAGGTGCTCCTGGTAGGTCTGACCTGTGCACACCAGGTACACCTGAAAACAGAACAGGTAGCCGAAGAACGCGCAGGCGACTAGACCCGACATGAGCAAGGTGGCCAGCAGGAACTGGTAGCAGGAGATGAGCCGCGCGATCAGCGCCAGCTGCGGCGCCACTACGTACCACGCCGTGGAAAGGTGCAGGTCGCCGAGCTGCTTCCATACAACTGACCATATCGAGCACAGTGCCAGCTGCGACAGCAGCCATCCGTGAAACACCGCGACAATGTAGTAGCGGTGGTTGCGGTAGCCGATACAGCAGCCAGCGAACACGCAGTGGTGGTCCCGCTTAAGCACACAGTCATCGCAAGTGACACAATGCGACCCGCGAGGGGGACACTGTAGCGCACAGCTGTAACAATATTTCCAATGGCGATTCGTTGCACTGACCAGTTCGCTGGCCACGCGGCGACAGCCGGACGTGACCGTCATCACCTTCCATAGGTTGCCGGCAAAGTTCAGGTACAGAAACAAAACGAGCGTGGCAGGCACGACGAAACCACACCACCACAAGCTCGCCGATCCCATCGCTTGTTTGTACATGACGGACACGGCAAAAAAACTGAATACCAGCGGACCGAACAGGAATCCAGACGTTATCATCTGACTCCTCGCACTCAATGCCACAAAGTAGCGCAGAAACCTCGCAGCTAACGCCCTCATTGTTACTAATGCAATCTGTGCTCTTCGCGAAACACCGTATCTTCATATAGTACCTAAGTATCGTCAGTGGCGCACGTTAAGTCAATTACTTAAGCGTACTACAAAAATAGGTTTCCGTATCGTCGAAATGAAAACGCTGATCCACAAATAGTCCTACATAGCAGCAGACTGGAATTAAGATTGTTAATTTCCTGTTGAAACTCTCTTCATGTTTCTTCCGCTGATACGTTGCTGCACAAAATGAGTGGCATGCGCGAAACAATCAAATGTTCCTTGTGTGATCATCACCCAATTGCTGCTTATCACAGATTTAGCAAGAATGGCCAATATCTTTGTCAATCGC